TATTATTTATAATCAAGCACTACTTCAATTTTATAATTATATTAGGAAGCACAACAATTACATGTTAATAATTTGTTATTCATCAATTAAAATTAATAAAGAGCATTGAGTTTATATGATCCAGGGTATAGAAGTATCGATGTCTCATTTTTTCTTTATCGAACTGCTTCTTTTAACCATTTGATGTTACACGTGTCTTTTATTTTAAGAACATACATAGGCGTCCTCCTTCTTCAATATTAAAAAATACCATAAAGAATTGTTTATGATTTAGTTGGCTGGCCCTAGGAGAGTTTACTCGACCTATTCTCCTATCTCTCGTATAGTTCGAATATGTGTGCGGCTCTATATGAAGACATCTTTTCTTTTGCTGAATGATGGATACAAATTATAAATGATAATTATCTAAACCTCATCTATATTTTTTTATTATTTAAAAAAATGAATTTTTTTCTTCACTACAAACATTGGAATTTATCACAACTCACCCTAGTAAATAATATTCTTTTAAAAAGGTCTTCTATTGATATTTAAGAAATGTCATAACAAAGAACAATAAAATTTCTGATTTCTATTTGAATAAAGGCATAAACTTCAATTTTATTTCTGAACTAACCATTGTAAAAAGGTTGATTTGAGATTTTTTAAAATAAAAAATTAGATTTTGAAAATTATAAATTGAGGGCATACTTGTAAATATTCGGATAATTTGATATCAACCATGTGGACCGTTTCGTGTAGTTGGGCCTCTCTGAGCCCATTTTGTAGAACTAATTTATGCGAACGTCGTCGTATAATATTGAGCAGCAGACTGCAAAGAGTGAATATAGCCGTTAGAGAGCACAATGCATATGTTTCCAAAGAGCCCCCTAATATGGCCGTTGGAGCATTCCCAATATTTGAAATTTCCAACCGTTAGAGATGCCAACGAACGTTTATACTTCTCTCTTCTCCTCATTTATCACTTTCACTTGTGCTTCCCTAAGACAATAATTCCTCCTCCTCCTCATCTTTCTCCTCCAGACACGAGAATTTAATATTTTCTTCCAATTCTCCGGCTAGCTCCTAAATTATCTCTGTTCTGGAAGGAAAATTGGATATCGATGGCAACGGTTGATGATTCGAACAGCGATCTAGCGATCATGATCGACGAAACGTACGAGTTCTCTGCGCCTCGGTTCTTTGATTTCGTCCATGGCGAGTCCGAGGAGGATAAGCGCGAAGCTGAACTCTGGTTTGAGACCGCTCTCACCTATGCTCCTTCACGTATGTTTCTTTCTCTCGCTTCTTGCCTTTTTCTTCTTCTTCTTGCGTTTCGTTTTTCTACGATTCTTTTTGGTTTCTTGAAGTGGATTCAAACAATCGAGCGGATCATAGGGAACGCAATTTTCTTTTTTCGAAAAAATTATAGGCATCTGCAGGTTGCTGAGAGAGTGTGGGAATTATGTGTGATTATGATGAGATTCGATAAATTTTATTACAAGTGATGGTGGTTACGGTTTGAAGAAATCTTGGCCCAAAATGGATCATGGATGTGGTCTTTTGCGATGCGATACTCGGTTCTTCCCTCTTTGTTTGTTCAGTGTATACAATTGAGAGGGAAAGAAGTTCAATTGAGCTGCATATTTTAGTTTGAATTAGTAATAAAAAGGAAACATGCACAGAACTTGAAGCAATCAAAGCCAGCCCTAGGGTTCTGAATCTTCCAATCTCGTGACTTCAGTGAATCATGGTTATTTTGTCAATTAAACTGGATTTTCAATGAGTTTATGTTTATCTTTAACTATGGTCCATCTTTTACAGCTTGTATGCCAAAAATCAAGACTAGATCGGTTACGGTTGAGAACTTGTGCGATTTCGACCAAGCCGAAGAAATGGAGAAGGTAGCGATTTCTTCTATTCTGTTTGTCTCACGGCGTCACATGTGGACATATTTTTAAGGCTCTCTGATTTATATTTTTTTAATTTTAATTCCTCACGCAGAACTCAGATCAATCCGGTACAAATTCTGTTGATACCGTTGAACCAACCACATCTCAATCTGTAATCGTGCCAAGTAAAACCAACAGAGAGTTAAATCCTAACAAGCCCAGAGAAGAAAAGGTTTGAAGTCTTGTCATGGTAGTTAGAGTCATTGAGCAACTTGTTACTTGTTCTTCGGTTCTGAACATTTTTATATCTTTTCAGGAGTCTACCAAAAACGAAGTTACTGAAAAAGATAACCTGAACATGACTCGAACTTGTGAAGATGGAAGGTTCGTTTATTTGCTCGACGATTGGTTCCTTCATTCATGTCTCTGCTCGTTTCTTTTGGCTAATTTTTGTACTTCGTGTAGAGTGACTTCTTCTAATGAAGGAATCGAACGGAAGAAGAGTGATTTTGATTCTCAAAATCAAACCGATGCTTGTACTCCCCTTCCAACTTTAAGTACTTATAAGGGTGAAGTACGAACTAAAGTTGCCACTTCCAAGAAGCACGAGACAGCAAAAAAGATTGCCGGTATGGTAAAAAATCCTTCGGCTCTGAAAGCCAGAAGTCAATTGCAGTTATCACAACCCCCCAAAAACGTTAAACCAAATAGCGTGAAGAGGTAGATGTTTCTGTTCATCTTCTCTGATATTAGACTTTGATGGCAGTGGGTACTGAATAAACGATTCTACAGGGAAAATAACGTGAAAAACACAAGTGGAACTTCGTCTTTGGTTCAAGAGAATCAGGCAATTAAGCGGCAAAAGTTGGATGGCGGTTTGTCTAGACAGGTGAGTTCTGTTAACATAGTTTCTCTCCGTTTCTTAAATTGTGTGTGGTTTTTGGTATTTCATTGTGTTGGCGATTGATATATAATTTCCATAAACCATCTCTGTTTTAGATTCTCAATGTCAAACCCCATACTTTGCCCCACAAGTCAAAAACGGGTCTTAAAGTTGGCGCCTCCAACTTGAGTTCTTCAGTTGCTGTTAAAACTAACAAAGAAGAACGGAAGATTTATGTTCGAGAACCAGCACCATTTGTTTCGATGGCTGAAATGATGAGGAAGTTCCAGTCAAGTACCAGAGATTTATCATTGCCTCATGTCAATAGCTCTCAATCTCATGTAAATAACTTCAGTCCTATCTTTTCTCCTCTGATCTGACTTTCTTTGAGAATAATTGATCACTTTTCTTTTCAGGATGGTGGTGCTTTTACCCAGACAAAGGCCAAACTGACGTTGACTAGGCCAAAGGTTCCTGAATTTGAAACAGCTCAAAGAGTTCGCACAACCAAGGTGAAGAGTTCAGCTGAGCTCGAGGAGGAGATGATGGCTAAAATACCAAAGTTCAAAGCTAGACCACTAAACAAAAAAGTAATTACTGGGAACTTTTTCACGATTCCACTTATCTTTTTACTTGAGTTGATTGATGACAAACTGAATATGAGTTTCCTACTCGTTAATGCGTACATAGATCTTGGAAGCTCCCACATTACCTGCAGTACAGAGGAGCACACCCCAGCCTCCTGAATTCCAGGTGAGCTAACATTAGAAAGAGTGATGGCGAATTATAGAGTTTCACTTGGATTTTTTACTAATCGGCTACGTGATTCTTGCAGGAATTTCACCTTGAGACAATGTCTAGAGCTAACCACCATGCTGATTCAGCTTCAGTAATCTCTACAGAATCGTCTCGTCAGGTTTGGAGAAGTCCATTAGTGTATTTTCTTCCACCACCCACACCTTATTCACTCAACTGAATTTTAGAGGCTTTTCAATTTTCTGTTCAGAATAATCAATGGAAACCTCATCTTACCGAACCTAAGACCCCTGTTCTGAAAACATCGCTAAGGGCTCGTCCACCGCGGGCGAAGAGTTTCCTTGAAATTGAGCAGGAGGAATTAGAGAAAATTCCGAAGTTTAAAGCAAGGCCATTTGATAAGAAGGTGTGTGCTTGGGCTACGTAAAAATAGCACATTTTATTCTAATGTTCATAGGATTTACTTGTTTTGATTTTTAAATTGCTGCAGATACTTGAAAGTAAGGGAGAGTTGGGGGTGTTCTGTAACATGAAAAAACATGTAACTAAACCGCAAGAATTCCATTTTGCAACAAATGAGAGGATTCCACCACCAAGTGCTGTTGCTGATCTCTTCGACAAGGTAGTTGTTTAAATTTTCGAAGTTAGAAGTGATGGAATTATTAATATTTCAAACACATTATCATCTTTTGTTTTTACTAGCTTCAATTCCACTTGGTTCTTATTAGTTTTCCCCTTGCAGCTTTCAATAAGTTCTGAAACTCGCGGCGTGAATCCAATTCCAAGAAACACCAAGCCCAGTCCCTTTCATCTTTACACAGAGGTAAGTGCCATCCAATCTTACAATAAGCAGCAATAGCATAATTGGAGTTCGAATTTTTCACCTTTTGCTCCTTTATGGTATCAGGAAAGGGGGGCAAAGAAAGAAAGAAAATTCTTCGTGGAACTTGTGCACAAGCAATGGGAAGAGGAAAGAGCCGCCATTCCAAGGGCTAACCCATATCCTTATACCACCGATTATCCTGTGGTACGTATAGTAAGCCAAAAACTTCTTGTCAGAAATTATGCGTGCGTTCTATGGGAGATAGAATCATGCTAATGAATATTGTGTGTGAGCAGATTCCACCAAAACCAGAGCCCAAGCAGTGCACCAAACCGGAACCTTTCCAATTAGAAAGTCTGGTGAGGCACGAGGAAGAAATGCAGAGGGAAATGGAAGAACGACAGAGAAAAGAGGAAGAAGAAGCCAGAATGAGGAATTTTAAGGCTCAGCCGGTCCTCAAAGAGTAAGTAACACTTCGTTAGATATAGTGAAGAGTCTGTAAACACTTCATTACTTTCATATGAATTGTGAAGATACGAATTTAAAGCTCAGAATGAGGAAAATAAGTGCCTGCTACCAATTTTGCAGGGACCCAATTCCATTACCGGAGAAATCACGGAAGCCCCTCACACAAGTTCAAGAATTCAATCTTCATGTTGATAATCGAGCTGTGGATAGAGCAGAGTTTGATCAAAAGGTGGACATGGTTTGAATTTAGTGTCAAATTCTTCTTAATATTTCAAATATACTTTCTGTTTACTAAATTTTGAAAGACCCTTGACAGATCAAGGAGAAAGAAGTGATGTATAAGAGATACAGAGAAGAGAGTGACGCAGCAAGAATGGTTGGTTATCATTTATATTTTTTGCAATTTCCGTTGCAATATGTTATATCTGTTCCCAAGAAATGCTGAACAGTTGAAATGTTTCCAGGTGGAGGAAGAAAAAGCATTGAAACAACTGAGAAGAACATTGGTTCACCATGCTAAACCAGTGCCCAAATTTGACCATCCATTTCACCCCCAAAAGTAAGGAAACGAAAGCCAATAGATTCAAATTCTTGTGATTTCCCATTTCTTTTTGATGACTGATTTTGAGTTCATCTACGTAAAATTATTAGGTCTTTTAAGGAAACAACAAAGGCCAAGTCGCCAAACTTGCGAGTCCTTCAGAGAAGAAAGGAGAGGCAGAATTTGATTAAGGTTGCAATGTCCAGCCCCGCAGCTCAATTAAGGTGATCTATCCACCATAAGAGTCAGAAGAAGGTTCCAAGACTAATGTTCAAGAACTCTTGAACCCCCAGTTGACGAGATCGAGATTTATTATGATGTGTACTAATTTTCTATTCTTTTTTCGTAGTAACGTGTAAAGAATTAACTTTGGGAAATTAGAGGTAGAGAGATATATTCAATCTTCCATTTTCCTTGTCTGACGAAAAATACAAGTAACAGGGACCAGAAACCTGAAGTTGGTGAAATATGGACGAAATTCTTTTATAAATCATCTGGGGGGGAGCCCATTGTTTCTTTTTACAAAAAACCATGTGCAGATTTTTGTCAGCTAGCCGAATCTGGTTATATGGAACACGTGACATTGCAATTAGAAATTGAATTATAATCATCTCTCTCCAGTATTATTGAACGATCCTAGTTTGAGCAGTTAGAAGAAAATTACATGACACCATCATCTCAAAAGATCTGATTTTGTGGTTGTGTGAACTCTTAAGGTAACAATTTCAGCAGCTGACAAATAATAACCAAAGTTTCATAAAGCAGAAACAGAGCTAGCTCTTTACATTTTATGACAGATAATATTCAAAGTTTGGCATAATATGATCTTGAGAATGGCTAAATCCTCTAACAAGGCCATTTTTTTTTCATGTAGATGTTGTTGCTCAGGCCCAGGCTACACGATTTTGCACCCCTAGACCTGACAGAAGAGAGAGAGCATGCTGAACAGATACGTTATGTTTCTAACTTATCTGATCTGGAAGTGTTGTTTAACATATGCAGCATTTTCTTGAATAGCTATTTGAATTCTCCCCTTGTCATCAACTTGGCCATACACACTGTCCTTCATCTGTGATCCAGTCCCTTTGCGGATTGAGGAGCATTCAGCATTGGACTCAGCTGAGATCTTCCTTCGACGCTCGTTGTGGCCGGCCAGACGTCTCCGGCAACTCCTTTTCGTTTCGTCGAATTCCGACAGCTCGTGAAACCTATACCAAATTCCAAAAGTAAGAAACTTGTAGCTGTCTTACTGCAGGAATTTCAGGTGTTTGATTGAACCATCTTCCAAATGGAGATTTTATTGTGTCAAAATGGCAATACAATACAAGAGTGCAGAGTGTTCCCAAACGATGATGTGAAATCTAGGATGAAGAATCTGTGCACGAGTGTTCTTGTTTTGAAGGAATTGAACAAGAAAAACAAGAAGACAAGGCCAAAATGGAGAACCAACATGTTGGGGAGTTATGGAAACCTCAAAAAACAGAGAGATTTGATGTGAAAATCACGCACAACTGACAATACCAATATCAAACATAGATGAAAAAA